GGCCTGTCCTCGGCCCTCAGCGCGCCCCGGCGCGTTGTGCCGCGGGAGCGGGTGGGGGTGTCCTCGGTCGGGGTGACCCTGACCTGCTTTGCGGCGGAAGATCCCGAACCGCGCACTGTTGGGGCAGTTCAACTTGAAAACACGTTTGTAAAAAAATTTCCTTTTTACAGGGTGTTTTTCTTCCTCAAGCTGCCGCATTAGCAGCGATGGAAAGCCAGCAACATTTCAGCCGCCTCCAAAGCCCATCATTATCGACAAGCAGAAGCAGGGACTGCAGAGGAGGTAGGGTGTCCTGGTGCTTCTCACAGTAGGCCTGTGTTCAGGTGTGCTGTCAGGCTGGTAATTCTGTGAGCCCCTTCTTAAAGCTCCAGGCCATTATTGTACAAAAAGTATTTGCAAAATTCTACCAAAAAGAATTCATATTAAAATATGCTTTTTAAAAAAACTCTTAAAATACTCTATAGAGTTCCTGAAAGCAGTGAAACAGGAAAAAGTATGTATAATTCTAAAGACTTCTGCAGATTTTGGTGATGTGCGATGTTTTTCATCTGTTAAAGGCATGCATCTCTTTAGTATGGCACAAGGTGGCAGGGACATCGGCCATGTGTCCGCCTTTGGCTTAGACCTTGAGATCAACTCTTAAGTGCGTTCGTTACTGTTTGTGAAATGGAGCTGCCAAATGCTTTTGTTTTACACTTACAGAAGTTTGGATTTTCTTACAGGTTCTTGAGCCCTGAATTTATACCTCCGAGAGGGAGAACAGATCCTCTTAAATTTTTTATAGAAAGAAAGGATATGATACAGAGACGGAAAGTCTTCAACATCCCAGAGTTCTATGTTGGTCAGTAACAGTGCTAGAGCTTTCATAATTTCATCGGTATTTTTCATAGGGTTGGATGGTAAAAGGTGTAGAATATCATAGAACATCACAGCATCAGATCTGTTAGATCAACTAGTATGTGTTTCTGTACATACTACTTCGTATTTTAATTCCATGTTTACATTCAGTTTCCATTAGAAGTATAATACTAATGGGTTTCTTATAGGTTTTTTTAATCCTGGCACTTTAGCATTTGGTTTACCAGTAAATCTCAATAAAACAAAATACATTAGATTATTTGTATTCAGTTTGCATAATGAAGAGTAAAAATTAAAGGTGAAGGTGTAAAGGTAGAGAAGCTTCATAGTTAACCTGCAAAATTTCTTTAACATACATTGATTCAGGGCATGTTAAAGTTTATTGTTTCTGAGTTTTCATGGAAAACAAAACATTTTCAAAATGAACCTAAATGCATGCACTTTGTCTGACTCTCTTCCCGTGTTTTGGTGTGTGTTTACTTGAACAGACTGTTTATTTTTCTTCTTTTTTTTTTGACAGGCAGTATACTTGCCGTTACTACTGCAAATCCATATGCCAGTGAGAAAGCCAGCCGGTTTGTAGGCATCTGCATTCAAAGAGGAGGAAAAGGACTAGGTGCTACTTTTGTCCTTCGGAATGTCATAGAAGACCAAGGTGGGTTTTTAACTGTGGTAATTATGATAGAAATGTTAAGCAAAAAATTTTGTGTGTGTGAAGGGATATCTGTTGTAGAAATTTAGTCTAGAGAGAGGGTGACAATAGATTAAAGTGAAACTGTGAGTCTGCTTACGAGGGGATGCTGCAGGTTTAAAACTCTATACACAGAGATGCTAATGTGCCATATATTTGAAGGTGTGGAAGTGCTTAGTGATTTTTGTTGCCCGTATACTTTTTAGATCTGTATTCTGAGGAGACTGAATGTGACCCACAATGGTTGTGCTTGTATTTAAGCCTGAGAAGTCTTCTGCCAGCCATGTAAATACTAGCCCAGTTTGAGCGCTGTGTATTTGCATGAACTGGGGATGTATGTGTGAACTGTTTAAAAAGTGACAGATTAGTAGTATTTTGTAGTAGGTTCATACTCTGATTTATGACAAAATGAGGGGAGATGCAAATACTGATGTTCTGAGAGCAAATATTAAAGGGGTGGGTGTCTCTTTATCTATATTACACATACAGTGAGAGAGGCAGTAACAGCTCTTGGAACCAAAAGGGAGTGAAGTTTAAAACCCAAGCTCATCTTCCTTAAATTCCAGCCATTCAGTGTCACTTAAGCCATACTGTTACCAAAGACCTGACTTAGAAATCTGCATTTGCCTGTGCAGACACAATGCACATGTACAACCACGTGTGCACGCAGCACTGTATAGTGTAGTTCTCTGTATAAGTAAAAAACAGTTCTTGAATAAGGGATGTATAATACTTAAGAAATACTAATTTGGTGTTAGTATTTCTAACGAATTTGGTTTATTAAACCAGACTTCCTCTCTCTAAGGTGTTGAAATATGTTATGAACTGTACAGTCCTCGAATCCAGGCGATTGAGGTTTTGAAGCTGGAAAAGAGGCTGGATGACAACTTGATGTACCTGCGAGATGCCCTCCCTGAATATAGTACTTTTGATGTGAATATGAAACCCGTGTCTCATTTAGAACATGAAGAAATTCCTGTAAACAAGGTAGGAGTCACATGTTTCGGAGGGAGAGTGGAGGATCATTTAGGTACCTTTTGTATCTGACTAATATCCTGAAAGGGCATTAAACAGCTCTTTGCTATGTTAGTTACAGGGTGACAAAAGTATACATTCCTTAGTTAGGAACAGGAGTAGAACTAAAAAAGATGAGTTAACTTCAATTTATTCAATTTACAAGATACTATAACAAGTCATGTGGACACAATTCATTTTCTTCTAAGAGTATGAAGTAGTAGTTCCTTAACATGCTGACAAATTGGTCTGTTTTACTTCTGTTAGAGTAGCAGTTGTCTCACCTTTTGCTAAGCTCACAATCAAATTCTGATTATTTGATATCTTTTGATTTTTTTTCCTTTTTTTTTAATATTTCACCCTAGCTCCAGGTACGAATGAAACCTAAGCCGTGGTCAAAACGGTGGGAAAGGCCAAAATACAATATAAAAGGAATAAAGTTTGAGCTACCTGAAACAAAAATGAAAGAAGCACAGAAGTGGAGCAAGCCATGGCTAGAGTTTGATATGCTGCGAGAATATGATACCTCAAAAATAGAGGAAAAAATTTGGAAAGAAGTGAGTGAAGCGCTTAAAAAATAGGGATAGTTTTTGCAGTCTAGGAATTACTGAGAAGATTAATATTAACTTTAAATTTACTGTGTGGAATATCAGTTGTCAAGTTTTGTATATATGCTGGCACAATAAACCTTTCCAGAAGATCTCAAAGTATACAAACTTTTGTGGTTGAACACTATGACTTTGTCCCTGAAAACAGCCCCTCCTTTCTCTGAGGTGCATAATACTGTGTTCACCCCTTCCTTGGAAATTGGAAGCCTCCTTTTTTAAATAGATTTAACGAGGGGTTTGTATCACCCAGTCAAGTGAGTTGTGTTGTCATTTCCAAATACTCCTGTTACTTCTCTCTTGAGAGACTAGGCAGTGGCCAATCGTAGAGCTGCTCGACTCAAACTTCAGAAACAGGCTATAGCAGGGAAGGAGACATAACCATCCAGAGTTAGTGCTGTTTAGTTTTCCCATTTAAAGAAAAATGTTTCTGAGAGAGCAGTAATACTGATCTGACAACAGAGCAAATACCAATGCTCTGAGATCAATTTTAAAGAATTAAGACAGTTTAAGCCAAATCCTGTGTTAGTGTAAGGTTCATGATGAAGTGTTCACAAAATGTCAGTGTAGGTTCTCAATACAGGACAACTGGTTTCATAAAACTATTTCCATAGAAGCACAGAGGGGTTAACTGCCTTCCCATGCTTACAAGTTACTACAAGTAATCTTTCTTCCAGAAAGATTGATCTACAGAGCTAAGGTGTGGTAGAGTACCTATTGTGTTTTTATAGTAGCCCAAGGCTACCTTTGCCTCATCCCAGCTAAAGGAGAACAAGAGAAGGCAGTGAGATCATGAGGTTGGGGGGATTGCTGATCAGCTACTGCATATTTGTTGGCATTAAGAGGAAAAGCAACAGAAATTTAATTAGAAAGCAGGAGTTACATTATAACTCCTATCTCCTGAAGTGAGGGCTAACACAGGTTTTTTTCAATACCTCTAACAACATTCTTGTCACATGTTAAAGAATTCAACTGTACGAGTCTCATTAACACAGCAAAATACTTTATTTTCAAAATAAAATTATTTTAAAAGTCTTCTTTTGTCTGTAACACTGTTCAAAGCTATTTACAGTTAAAATGTTACAAAAATATATTCTTAACTTAAAAAAATAGAAAAGAAATCACAGGGATTAAGTTTGCAAGAATTAAATTCTAGTTCCAGATTGTGGAGATAGTCACAAGTAAACATACAGCATCTGTGATGCACTACAGTTTCTACAATAATGCATCCTTGTTTTATAACTTTGTGTATTTGCAATAAAGTTATGAAACATTAGACATCTAATAAGGGTATGATAAAATAAGGTTCAGTAGATCTTGCTGGGAAGGAAAAGGCAGACTTTCCTAGAGTCAGTTCCTAGAAAGCAACTGAAGTTGTTCTTGTGCTTCTCATCATCAAGATGTTCGTTATTAAAAGCCTGACAAAGTAGGATGGGTGACAACACTAGCTCGGAGCACACGAGTTCAGTCTGTATCACTTGGATACAAAACTCCAACACACATCAGACATTATCTTCACTGCGTGTTTGCTCTTTCCCAGACATTCTCCTGTGCAGCTCTTACCTCACTGAACCCACATTTACCATCAGTAAACATTCATCAGACTCCTGGTCTGCACACCAGCTTCCCTTGTTTCTGTACCAGGGTCAAACCGCTGCAACACTATAAACTTTTTTTTCCACTAGAAATGGCTTAACAATAACTCCACCAAAAAATCATTGTGGACCACAAGTTAAAAGAGTTCAGTGACTGCTGGGTCAGGGTGATATGTGGCAATTCATACTGAAAATAGCTTGTAAAGTTGTCTAGTGGACAGCAGTAATAAACTTTACAGGCACCTTCTATCTTTCCAAGAACCCTTACAAAAAGGGTAAGACAATAAGGTACTGTCATACATTTTAGAGTGCCTGAACCAATCACTTTTCCTGTGACAACCGTAACTTCTGAAAAGATTCCTTAACCTAGGAGCAGATGGCAGTTAAAGACATTTGGAAAAAAAACCCTCAAGTACTTAATGGTAAGACAGCGATAACTACATCTTTGAGTAGGCAGGATTCACTAATTTCATATTAGAACTGGTTTAGTGTGAATAGCAGGCTTGTTTCAGTAATACGTCACTTCAAAAATATCTATTTCCCAATCATTGGTTTAAGGTGTTCAAGTTTATACTCTTCAATGAAGTCTTCAACAATACGAAGAGCTTTGACTTTCACCAGCAGGAGAAGAACTTCTTTTGTTTCATCACTAAAAAAAAAAAAAATACATAGCAGCACTTTAATGTACCTAAGTACACTTTATTAAGAAGTCATGTATCATTCCTTGGCCACTTGGCATCGGGTGATCTTGGCTACACTGATCACTAACAGCACCCAACATCTAATGCCTCAAACTATCCCATTAAACTAGAACTGCAGAAGCACCCCTTTACATTATGAACTCCATCTTTTGTTTTACGTACGTGACAAGAACACCCTTGAAAGTGTCAAATATGAAACTTAAGGAATTTAAGAAAGATTTAACAAAGTATTCAAGGAAGTGCTTGAACCCCAAGAAAAGCCTTATCTATTACCTGTGGTTATTCTTGTGTAGTGTACGGGCACATCGCAGCAAGTGCTGGCAGAAGTTCCGTAATTCGGGGAGAGTTGATCCACTTTTAAGATCTTGGAACCATCTTTCTGAGAAGCATGCAACCACCTGTTCACCACAAATAAAAATATTTGAAAAAAGTTTAGAAATTCTTTCAATATACCCAAGTCATATCACTTCTGGCTGGGACTTTTTGCAGGTTCAGTCATTATTAGTAGTGTGTTTTTTCTTTGAAACCAAGATTGATTATCCCTACAACTAGTTATTCCTAAGAAACCTATGGACCAGTGTTTGCTGTAAAAGGCTTTTATGCAACAAAGTCAAAAAATTTTTTTTTTAAATTTAAATGTTGTTTAAATTTTAATTTTTTTAAATAGTCTATCTTCAGTTTCAACTCCTCTTTATGAAAAAACCTTTCAGCATACACCCTCTTCCAACATACATGTTATCTTTTACCTTGTTACACTTCTCTGTATGATCTGGCCCTGGTGGTGTGTTTAAGAGGATCAGAAGGAGGTAACGATTCAGCAACTTGCTCAGTCCCAAATCACGGAGTATATCTTCTTGTACAATCCCATCCCAAAGAAGAACATTGGAGAGCAGCTGCAGTAATGAAGAAACAGGGAATACATATACCTGGTGGCTGGAAGTGTGCCAACACACACTATTAGAAGTTTTATGCAAGTTAAAGATAATATTACATCCACCCAGTTTTAGTACTCAAACCCCAAGATTCACACTCTCCAAACTTATTGTCAGACAGCCACTAATAAGCTGTATATAGTAAATAACCTTATCAAGAAAGATAATTAATTTCACTTGTGTGGAGGTGCAATTCCACCTCTCCCGTAGCTGATGTGATTTCCCCACCTCTCCTGGGCCACACACCAAGGCAGTACAGACTGCAAAGGGCAGCAGATCAGGGCACTAAGGCCCCCCTCAATGAGCCTGGCTCCTGCTCTCCCTATCGCTTGAGCACAGTAAGAACAGTCCATCACCTCCTGACAGCCTGGTACATATGCACCTGCCACGTGGCCGAGGGAGGGTGTGATAAAAGAACTGCACATCCATCAAGTGGTGGAAAACACCAGAATTACTTCATCACTCAGGCTGGGCTGGAGTGGAAAAGTACCTGACAAAAGTCAATTAACTTGGATGCTATAAACCACAACTCTCAGCAAGACCCTTTCAGCTCTCCTGGATCACAGTGGGCCTGTGACCAGCATCTCCCCTGCGCTGGGACACCTCTCAGGTATCAACTGCTCGAAGCACCATCCACCAACAGAGCCAACAGGAGGCCAGGGTGAAGTCAACCCTCTCAAGACTCAATTATCACCTGTTGAGGAACACCAATGCATTGTAAGTATTTAAACTCAAGGAGGGAAATTGTGACTGTAGGCTAGTTTCTCTTTCACCCACCTCTCTACCTATCTCTGTGTTTGGATATACACAGTTATTTTCATGAGTGTGAGTACATACATCTTTCACTGGATCCAAATATTTCTGTCCGTGTGTTTGTGTATGAATATACATATATAGATAGATTTAGGACACCTTATAGTAAGTTAGTGTGAATCTTGTCACTTTCAAACCTGTACTTAAGTTGCTATTTTAATCATTAATCAGGATAATACTACACGCAATCCCTCCTAACACAATGAGATTGGTAGCCATGCAGCAGCACAAAGAGATCTCTTTGTAATTGATATCAGTATTATTAGGTACTGAGAGTTTTCGCCTGTTGCCTCTATCACTATAAATCCCTACAATTGTCTTTTTTAAGTCTGATGTAAGAACATGACTATTTTTTCCCTTAAATCAGAACAGTTAATTTTCAGGTAACTATTAACCTCAAGGTATTTTACCCTCACAGACACAGCCTGCTACCTCTGCAGTCACCAGTCAAAAAGCACTCACAAAACCCATCACTTCTTCACATTTCTCTGGAGTATCTGATGGGACACTTCCATCACAACTGAAACACAGATCAAAGGAAAAGGAGTGCTTCTACTGGCCAGCATTAACCAGGAAAGTACACGCACAGTAAACAAGAAGCACATTTTGAGCTACACTGGACAAGTTAGACAATAGCAGGGTACAAACACTGAACTGCCATCACCTGTACTTCTGCATTAGAAGAGCTCCTGGCTCACTTCATGTGAGAGACGAACTAAACAGCCTGAGAAAGCAAAAGTTGAGGCTGATCCAAGAAATGCCTCAAATACTCGCAAAACAAAACTGTGAGTCACAGGGTGTACAGTGTGGAGGTCGAAGCTGATAAGGCTGCCTGAATAACACAAGATACAGCTGGAGGAGGGAGCCCTGTGGAGACAGGACAGCCCTGCTCTGGGGCACATGGGCAAATTTCAAGGGCCATCTGTCCAGTGAATGACCTTTGCTTCCGTACCCACAAAATCCATATTAAAGTTAACACCCCTCAATATGCTAACGAGGGCTAACAGGATCATGCTAATTACATCATCCCATGAAACACCTTACCCCTCCTCGTACATGGGATACATAGGTATGTGGGTCAACCTAGGGGATGGACCCAAGGGGCGGGGGGGAAAAAAGGGGGGGGCCTGGAGAGTGTAGTGAAGCGAAGACGACAGATGCCAGCGAAGAAGACAGCCGCCTCCTGGAACCCTCACCGGCAGGATCAGCACAGGAACCCAGACCGGTGATCTGTATTCCCCCATTCCCTCTATCTCCCTCTGTTCCCATTGAGAAATGCAAGGCATATTGTATTGCTTGCCACAATTTGCTACATACTTAGCCAATTATAGTGTGTTCAATTAGTACACTGTGGGTAGTTAATAAATGCTTGGACTTTGAGACTCATCTCACTGCTGTCTGCTCCGTTGTGGATTTGCAAATCTGAGTCATTTGTCTCCCTCATCTGAGAGGGACGTGACACTTCTCACCCAAGCCAATTAGTATTTTTCCGTACAATTTATGGACATGGATTAGAGGCTATTTCTAATAAGCACTGTGAAGACAGCAACCCGTATTGAAAGACAGGGATTGACAGCACGAACAGAGGGCTGATCAACAGCAGCGGGTCTCAGCACCAGAGAGCAGGCTCAAGCACAGATGAGTAAGTCCCAAGAGTTTAACACAGATGAGCTGCAGTACTACCTACGCTGGGGTGACTGAATTCACACCTCCACTCCAAAAAAATTTAAAAAGTGACAATTATCCAACAGATATACAGAGCAAGAGCACTTTAAACTTCTCTCCATTATCTCACTCCTCCCAAGATGACTCCTGTGACAGTGACGATAGAAATCAAATCTAAAAGGAGAAAACTTCGGTCTGCAGAGGAAAGCACTCAGGTCTGACTTCCAGGAACACACGTGTCACAGTCCTAGAAGGTGGGATCAGAACTGCAAGTCTGCCTTGGTTTTTACTAGATGTCCTAACCCCTAAGGATTAAGGTCCCCCTTGCTTTCTCTTCATCTGTCCACGACAGATTCCTGCACAGAGCTCACCCCAGGAGCAGAGGTAGCAACTCTTTCGCCAAACAGACCTTAACACATCCAACTTTCCGGGTTTTTCAACAAAAAGGAAGCTCTGCATCATGACAACAGGAAGCCTTTGCAGGGCTAGGCATCATGAATAGCAGGGCAACTGGAATACTGTCTGAGATTTTAATGGGGTTTTATGCATCTAAATCTCATCTTTGGTAAGAATCCAAATCTACTCAGAGTAAACACATCTTCAGTGGGAACTGAATCACAGAAATTCCCAACTCAGCACCCCAAAAGTAAAAACTATACTGATGTGCTTATATGAACACACAGTGATCATATTCTACAGTAAGGGTTCGCATAACTTAACGCCACGTCATAAGGCAAACAGCCATCTTCTGTGACTGAGCTGGCCACATATTAGCCCCTTTCCCCCCCATTATTAGGCCATGAAGGTCCTGTGCACCAAGGAGATGGAATCCAACAGATTTCTTCCCCTCCCTGTCAGCCTCAAAATTCCTGGGCTCCAGGCTGCCCACTCCCCTTCTTACCAGCCTTAAAGGTTCCGGGCACCCAACCAACCCAGTGGTGGTGATGACCTCATCACACAACAGGGATACGTAACAGCTCACAGAGCACTGTCTAAAACAATCAAGCAGTTACAAGTCCTGAGTGGAACCTGCACCAGAACCGCTGCTGGACAGTGAGACCCATAAGCCCACCTTGTGGCCCCAGATACCTCCACCATCCTCTGCTTCCTCTGAGGACTGACTCATATTCTTTTATGTGTTTCTAGTCTAGATCATGACTGTCATATTATTGATGCTGCAAGCCAAATATTAAGATTTGGCTGGACCTGCAGAGAGTCCAGGTGATTGGGAACCATAAGCTAAGCTGTGCTATAAATTATGCTACACTACTTCTAAAATAGTGCCACACCTGATTCCAATTATAAAAATACTGTGCTTCTCTGATCATAAAATGCTGTGCTGATCATAAAATTCTGCTAAAAAAAGCAGCTTAAATTGTACCTACAACTTAGTACTATCATCATTCTGTCCAGGATCCCCAATAGATCCTGTCTGTCCCCGTGGTGGTGAGTGACAATGACTAACTAATATGATCTAAGGCCAACACGCCTGGCTGACCCTACTCAAGGCAAAAAAATGAACCAGCAGGAACAGATGGTCAGATCAAAGTCTCTTGCAGAAGATGTACCAGTTGGGTAAACAGAAATAAAGTGCTCATTTGTAGTTCATTCTTAAATCATTACATGCAGGCTGCACAGAGAACACATCCTTCACTGAGAAAAATGGTTATCCATCCTAATAAAAATGTATTAATCTCCCAGGAATCAGACTTGCCTGAGATGTATTTCCTGTCTGCCTGCAAAACATTTTCACTAAAATGAATTCCAAAGAAAAAAACCTTGTATTTTCTCACCTTAACAGCTGACCAAAAGCGTCTTTCTTGAAATTTTGAACATAGTGATGACTTGTCTTCCACAGTGCTGCTCATGGAAAGAAGAAAAAGTTAAAAGAAGGATTTTTAATTTGGTTTTAGAAGAAGATAAACAGATAATTTATCTCTTAAGACACTGATGAATGTTAATTCTGGCATTCTTTCAGCAGCATCAGCCACAACCAGAATAAAGATCTAGGGAAACAGCTGTCAATTTGAACCCATTATAATACAACTACTACAAAACAACTACCAATTGGAAACACCTGTGTCTACTTTCATGGATTCAGATCAAAATAGCATTGCTCAGAACTAAACATCCTACATCAGCTTTAGCAAAGCTTCTCTCCTAGCTGTCTCTTAACCCCACATCTCCCAGACTCCTACTTGCTCCCACCTTTGAAATAGTCTTCAGTTACAAGCATCCACAGTAAAAGCCCTTAGCATATTTTAGAAATGACAGGAGGAATTGAGGGACAATACACATGACACTAGACCACCTAAACTAACACAGGGCCTCAGATGTAAGTTGCTATGCTACAACCACCCTGTGGACCTCATATTAAAAAACTTTTTGATTACAAGAGTAGAAAAGCATTGTCAGTGGAGTTACCCTTATTAGAAAGAGTTCATAAACAGGAATAAGGCTTCATAGCCTTTCCTGTAATAAAACAGTAGAAGGCATGTTTGTTCCATTAGCTGTCAATGGATGTCTACAATACTTCATCTACATCTGTGGGGGAAGAGGGCAGAAGAATTAGAAAAAAACAGAAGGTTAAAAGAGTCCCAGAGTCAGCTCACCTTTTAGGATATAGAGGAATAAAGACATCTTCCTCTATGGATTTCTTCATTCTTACGACAACCATGTTGATCAAATCCTATGAAAAAAGAATTATTAATATATCCTCACAAGAAAGACTTTATCTTCCATTTGTAACAACTTCAATGGTTGTTTTGTTCATCCAGAACTGTAGCATCTTAGAGGTAAATAGAGTTGCCACTTGTATATAATACACACTGAGACCATGAATACATTAAAAACAGTAGACATATCACAGCTGTAATTCTCTATAGGGTTAACCTAAAGGATTTTTTTTTAAGATGAAGTTATTTCCCTAAGTAAGGGCTTTTTTTTTTTTTTTCCATGTTAATTTGCAAGGCAGCAGGAAAACTGTATATTTTAACAACAAAATGAGTTATGCACATAGGATCTCCATGAAAAGCCATGAAATTCTAGGTTTAAAAAAAAATCATCACCATAGCTAGGATAGTACATGGTTTTAGGGATCATGCTTTTAGGTGTTATAGATTGCCACCCACCTTTCTTTTAAAGCCTATTTATTTATTTAAAGCTCTGGTTTGGTTTACTTCCTATACAAACAGTATCACGGCTAATGTCAACTGTACCACTTCAAGTCATGGTTTCAAATCATCAACCTCTGGAAGGCTCAGTTGGAAGGCATACACATTTTCTTAAGAGTATTTCTTTTCCTACTAGGGCCTAAACATCCAGCAATTTCACCAGTTTTATACTAGATAAACCTCCACATTTACCTCAGAATAAAACTGGAATCAGGCTGAAGAAGGGCATGCTAGAGTGACTACGCATATAAAAGTAATTATTAAAAGATTGCTAAGATTACAAAGTAGTATTTATCCTACGCAATTATTTAACATTTGGGGATTTATAAGTTTTAAAATTCTAGATCTACTTTATAAATAAGTACTTAGGAAGGTGAACACGAGAGCATTATTAGCATTTAACACTCAAATTTGAGACATAATTAAATGCAAATCTAAATTCTAATGAGATTAGATCTATGATCAGATTCTTGATAGGTACAGACAGAATTTTTCTAGGAACAGGAGCTAATTTCTGCCTCAAGAGTGTCCCATCTCCCATAATCTTCATTAAGAGCAGCATCAAAGAGCTGGAAGTTTAACTTAAATCTTCTCAATATAAAGTGGCAAAACAAACAACTAATCAGGACCAAACAACATCAGGACGATTTTCTAAGTGCCCATAGGAGCACACACAGTAGATTAAAGTTCTCCCTTCCCCAGCACCACAGGAGATTTTACCTCTTTTCCTCGACTGCATTCATTTTTGGAAAGGACTTGTTTTTCAAAGATGTGATTGCAAAGTTGTACAAGGTTCTTTGTCTGTGAAGTAGATAAAGGATCCCACACACTCTTTACAAATGCTGAAAAAAATAGGGATTTATTTCATTCACAATATGCAAGTATTTATCTGCTCTAGTTTCAAGGCATTACAATGTAACAGAAGTAACCATACAAAAAGCAAAACCTCCCACAGTAATCTTAAGAGGAGCCTCACTCTGTGGAACTAAGTAATCACTACATCTCAAAGCACCATTATATAACTACCATTCTTTGATAGCTATCAGTTTTATTTAAGGTTTGACTGCCCAGCTGCAGTGAACATTTTCAAAACAATCTTAATATACCTGTGATTTTGGGAAGAATAGTTTTTTCAACCACTCTAGGCAAAACTTCTTCATCAGGATCATCATCCCTTTTTGATTCATGTGTGTTTTTGGCACCACTGAATTCTTCTATAGCTCTGAACCAGGGCATCTCTTCCAGATCCATAAAATTCTCCTGGAAGATCATTCCTGTTAGTCATTCAGCTGGTCAGGATTAAAAGAAAAGCTCCATCCAATGATACCACAATTTCCACTTAATTTGAGATCCACTCTCATCACTGAATGGATCAAAACAGTGAATCGGGAAAACTAGATTTAAAGTTAGAATTTAAAGGATGGGATTGTTAAAGTGTCTTCAAAGAACTCTGAACAAGAATTCTTTTTACACAGGGTGTTGCAAAAGGGGCTGGAGGTAAGGGGAAAGGAAAAAGTGAAGGAGATTCCAACCACATTCTTCAACTTGAGACCAACACTGCATCCTTTTATGATTTCGAATGCACGGTGCAATGTATAGGAATAAAAAAATAAAATCTCATTTTTCATATTATTATAATACAAAAACACACATATACTTTTTGAAGAAAACAAAGTCAGCTGATGCACCTACCTCAAGAGGATTCCAACTGATTAACTGAACTCTGATCAATGGATTTAATATCTTAGGCAGGCAGAAACTGATATAAGCATCACAGTAAGTGTCAGGAAACTTCTCTTTCCATTCCTGGAATTTCAACAGGATTTTTCTGATGTCACAAAAATCTGCATGTACATCTTCAAAGACTTTCCTACTATCCTCTAAAACGTTATCTATGGATAATATTCATTGGGAATAAAAAGAAACAATCACAGAACTTATTGAGGCATAAGCTGAAGAGTTCATTCATCTATAGCATATAAGAAATATATGATAATTGCATTTGTCATTTATCTTTGACACACCTGACACTGAAACAGGCTTTAAAACCAGCTCCCTGGAAAACCCACTTTCAGAAAAAAATACTGTCAGAAGACAAAAAAAGGCAAGTTTCTTCATGATCTGTTCCACAGATTTATACAGCCACTGTGTTTCAAACTTTATACCACAACGATAAAACTTCAGACATGAAAACCCTTCTGCTGTTATCTGGAGAAAAGGTACTATGCCTTTCCCTGCTCCTACTCATCTGTTCATTCAAGGCAATTAAAACACCAAACTAAACTTACTCTATCTTTAGAAAATAAACTGATTATAGAAAACACATTGTAGCATTGAACTGAGTACTAGCAGATCAGCTTTGTCATAATCTAAAATAGAGTTTATTTCTAGTTGAAACAGTCATGTGTAATGCTACCACCATATAACTCAAACCAAACTATACACCTATTCTTCCCAAGTCTCTCTGAATGCATTTCTCTTCTACAGTGTGTAATTAAGAATATGCAACTCAAAGTATTTATTCCACCTTTCCTAAAACAAGTACATCATAAAATCTGTCAAAGAGATTTTGTTCTAGGACATCACAGTAAGACTGTCACCAACCTCTGTTCTTCTGGAACTCCTTCACCTCTGGCAGGCTCAGCTCATCGTCACTCGACATGCCTTCATGGTGATCAGCTTCTCCTGAACACTCTCTCACTTGCCGTCTGCAAGTCCTGTATTTTGTAATAAACTCAGATGAGTTATCTTCTCCCACGTATGAAGAAGGAAGCTTAATGAAAAATTATCTGACTTCAAAAACTGTACTTAAAGTTGAAAGAGCAACAGCCTAAGGAACCACAGTGAGGAAGCAACAGTAATTATGTAGCCACAGGACACAAACTGTGAAAGGAGGAGGGAACTTAGGAACTGACATAAAAGAGGTTGTAGCAATATCTCTGATCTCCCCTACGAACAATGTAATAACTTTTACTTCACCTCATTCCGATCAATGAGGTTAATTACCCATCCCACCTGCAACACTGAACATCTAGCATAGCACTGGACACTGTCTCTGACAGTTTTAGTGAACTACTGAGCCATCAGTCTTTGTCACCTCAGTACTGGATTACTTGTGCAACAACCCACAAAAACTGTGATAGCACCCAAGTGCCAGCTGGGCTCAAAAAGCTATTGCCATGACACCAAAAATCATAACAGGCTGCAAAATCAATAGCTTTCATCTCTGCCACAGGAAAAAGATATACATATGAAAGAGAATCGCATAAATACTTTTATACTGTTATTTACATCAGAGATTAACTGCTTCAAGTGGAAGTTATTACACCATTTTTCATACATTAAAATTCCAAGGTTCTTGCCACTTCAAAGTACAGTTATGGGTTGAGGCACTAATGCAACTGTAAAACTTTCAAAGCTCCCAATTAAAAAAAAAAAAAAAATCAGTAGCAATCTCTGAACACTATAATATCCAAAATGTAGCATGTCTGACCTACACTGATAACAGACTAGGGGTTAGATGTTGCTTTGCATCACTCACCAGCACCTCCCCAGCAGCCACAATACCACCTGGTTTTGCTATCTATACAATAATATAAAAATATATCTGTTTAAGGTCATAATATTATTAAAACAGGAGGGAAAAAGCTCCCCTTGTAGTTTGGCTCACTTAAGACTTGCTAATTTAAAATAATATGATCTATTAGCATTCAGATTCAAATCAACACAAAGAGAATTACATTAGACAGGAAATATGTACCTGCTTTCCAAAACTTCAAGTACTTGGAAACAAACTGGTTTTTAGACTCATTTAGTAATCCTACAGGTTTATATTCATCACTGCATAAATGACAGCAGAGTCAGTACACCGTGCATTTATCAGTTAAGTGCATCTATATGTAATAGCTACCTTCGATGTTCACATACTTCCAGAAGCTGTGTCTTCTCATCACCTTCGAATCCACCATTAGCTGGCTTGTCATTCCCACCTGTCAGAAGACAGAAAACAGCCAAAAATAAAGTGGTAGGATTTTAAAGTTCCTGTTTGTTTGGGTTTTTTTCAAACAAGAAAAACAAAGATTCTCCTTCTATTGTTCTTCATTTGGAAAATAACCAAAGAAAAATCAAACCTCCTGATCTAAACTCTTAACGATCTCCAGAGTAACACACAGTAAATATTACTTGCTAACTACATATAGTCAGATGTGGTTGTTCCCTTATAGCAGTTGATGAAAAGGCGAGTTTGATGATATCCCAGTTGATGCCCACTGCTTCCTAGTCTTGGACAAGGAACTTAAGAGCCTTCCTTCCGCAACAAGTTCTTAGCTGTGTGAAAGGCAAGCATAGGGACCTACCTTCATCCTGCAGGTCAAAAATGAAAAATAAATTAGAGTGACTTCTGAGGTTTGGCTGAACATTATAATAGAAGTTAAATCCCTGATTTACACTATTCAAAAATCATTGCACTTAGATTTCAAGACTAGTCAGCTCCTCACTGCCTCCCGTTATCTGAGTAGTCACTGACTGTCTGACCCCAATTACCCCTACACTGATTCTTCAGTCCAACACAGAGAAGTAGAAACTAGAAGTATTTTCCAGTTGAGGCATTCATTTGTAGCACTATTAGTGCTGGTATGTGCACAACATGCTAAAAAGGTGTACTACTCCTGAAATATTATCATGCAAGAAAAAACCCAGCCTTTCCACTATATTAAATAAAACTAGGAACATAAAAAATAATTAAAAGTGCTGTTTAAAACATGCAAATACAGTTTCATTTGTAATGAGCTGGAAGTAAAATAATTTCAATGGCAACTATTATTATATCTAATAATACATTATTATTATGATTATTATTAAAATACTGTAATTATTATACCCTTTTCTTCTTAACACCTGCTATCAGTCCGCTACACCATTTTACAAACTCATACAGGCTGCTGGGTTTCTCTAATCAGCACTTTATCCTGTGAAGTGAGAAGACTGAACCCATATGATTAGTAGTTACCAGAAACTGCTGCATCTGGCCTCCATCTGTTCCCAGCAGCTCCATGTGTATTGCTCTTAGCTTTGCCTAAACAGTTTCAAACGGTTTGGTTTTGGAGCCTGGGTTCGTTTTAAACAGCAGCAGCTGAAGATTTACACAGCACACAAACAATACATTGGCATGGAAAGAAAAAATGAGATGAGACAGTTGTAATGCTTTTTCCTACAGTGACAAAAAAAAAAAACCCAACAACAAAACACAATTTTGTGTTTGATAAAAATCCTTAAAGAGGCTGCATTCTGTCCTCCCCTGCACGTGTCACCTCCTAGTCATAACGAAGTTTTCAGATCACTCATGTAGCCCTAAAGACACTGTCATGTAAGGCTGATTTTGCCATGTAAGCGCACCGCTTTTTCATATATTTACAGAATCCTACATCAGCAAGCTTTCTCCACCTTAAGACCTACTAGAAAACCAACTATGTTTTTAAATATTGATGGGAAATTGCTGACTTGAATAACTCAAAATTGACAAAGTATTTGGTCATGTTATGTTCACTACTAAACCAAGTAAAACCAACATCATGGACGTTACTGAGGTGAGGATTTCAGCTGACATACAGCAGAAAACAGCTACAGACATTAGAGGAAAGGAGATCACAGGTGAGCATAAAATACTTCACAAAAAAAAAGCAAATGTCTATTTCTGCTCAAAGAGTGAATGTTTCAGTAAAAAAAGTAGCTTTTAACTTCATACTAACCTATCAAATGCTGAATATAAGCAGATTCATTTTTCAGCTCATCTTGCCTTCGTTTCAACACAGACACGGATCGTTGCTGAAGAAGCACATGTACAGCCAATTCTACCTCATTAATGTATTTCAGCTGAAATATAGTAAACAGCAATCAGGTTTTCAAATAAAATGCAATGAGAATGAACAAAAACCAGTTTTCAGTTTTCAGTATTTGGTTAGAACCAAAGTATTACAGATTGAAAAGTACATCTGGAGTTGTTAGTTTTTGAGACTGTTGTGTAAGACTGAAAAACTGAAACTGAACATCAGTTGCTCATCATGGGATTACCCAAGGTTTCACACAAAATGGTTCAACAGGACACTACTGGTATATCTATCTCTTGGTTTGCTTTCGAGACATTAGCCATAGAAGTATTCATTAATTCTCTTTGAAGTTACACAAAGAGGGGTAATGGCTACAAGTTACTCTTGGGAAGATTCAAATTGGACAGAAGAGGAAAATTCTTCACAATGAGAACAAGCAGCCACTGGAATAATCTCCCCAGGGAAGTGGTGGATTCCCCAACATCAGACACTTAAGATTAATCTGGACAGGGTGCTGGGCCATCTTGTCTAAACCGTGGTTTTGCCAAGAAAGTTTGGATGATCCTTTAGGCCCCTTCCAACCTGGTATTCTATGACTGATTCTCTGAATTACAATGCAATCAAGTGACATAAATTAGATTTCATAGCACTATCTGTAGTGGATAGCAGCAGTTTACTTCCACCAAGGCCAAACTTTAGGCAGCTCCTCCCCTTTTTTAAATACACAAAGTCTACAGTTAAGCAACTGATGCAGCTGATGATGTAGACAAATTCTCACACAACTCTAACTCAATCTCAACTCAAACCTAATGTGAAATCCTTACTACCTCTGTTACATCACCCTGAGTAAAGACATTTAGACACATCCCAAAAATGAAATTCAGCTCCACCTCTCATTCAACTTCACCACACTAGTTACAAGACCTGCAGAAAACTCCCTCCAGTATCCTTTTGTTTTCATCCAACAGAATCTAGTGAGACCATAGTTTAAGTCAGCACATCTATACCAGCTTTATCATCACTTTAGGTCAGGGTGAGGGTTGATTTGTTTTCACTATATTTTGTTTTTTGTTAAAAATAAATTCTATCAGAATTTTTAACGTAACTAAGTGGTTTCCCTCATCATTTCCAAACAAAAAAAACCCTTCATCTGTCATTGACCAAATGCACCTTTGTCATCTAAAAAAAAAAAGGAAGAAATACATACTTTTTCATTCAAACAGTTTATCAGGTTTTCTACATATGTTTTCATGGTTCTGTAGAATTTGTAATTCAGAGCTGCATCCGAAGACTTCTCTAATTCCTGGACAGTCATTTTTGAACTTTCAATGTCCTCCATATATTTTTCATACTCCCTCTGGTGGGCACGGTGTACATCCTGTAATGATGTTATCCTAAAAAAAAGGGAAATCCAGACAACTAAAACTATTGCCAAATTAGCAGTTGATACATTCCAAAACATTTTTCCCATTATAATCACATACAAAAATCTTTGCCTGTGCTAACAGCACTTGCATTTGAGCAAATAAGTGTTAAAGCATTTATCCATGCCAACATTTGCACAAGTATGGCATGTGGACAAGCATCATACTCTGGAGACTTACCTGTAACTTAAATGGTGCTAGTTTTGAAAGCACCACTGACATTTTGCCCAGATCCTTCAATATACCACGCTTCCCAAAAAAATAAAAAGCCAAATTGTGTGATATCACGTTAAACGGATTCTACCCAACATAATCTGGATAAAACTACGGCTCTTGTTAGTATGTCCATACTAGTTTAATTACTAGTCTAAGTTGCATGGATAGGAGCAGCTATAAGCATTCCCCATGTGCTCACTACTAAATACAAACCAGCTGAGCACTCTTGCTGCTCATAGGTGGTAAAATCCATGAACCTGGGTCTACAGCTGTCACTATCAGGTAGGTAGCATAGGAATATTCACATCTATTACAACTCTGCCTCTTCCTTTTTTTTTTTAACTCCCTTCCCTCCTTACATATCCCAAGTGACTGCTCAGCTTGAGCAAGCCTATTAATAGAAGCAAGAAATTGACTTATTTCACTTTCTTGAAGTAGAAAACATTTCTCAGTGAAAATAATTGAACTATAGTTCTCTACTGTGCTAGAAATTAAAAAAGCTATTTCAGCATTTAGCATGTTAGCAGGTTCCTCCTCTCCTTGTTATTTGCCAGATAGGTTTCCCACTCTTGATAGCTTTATTTTCATTTTAGTTCTTTGATGTATGTAAATTCCTACTTCATTTAACTCATTCCTTTCAGGCAATTATGGCAAGGAAAGCATGCAATTCTACCAAAAAAAAAAAAAGTGAGTCCAATTTAGTTGCAATCCTTCAAACAAGCAGGTCAATGATGGTCTGTACAAAGCAAAGCATACTCAGAGAGAGTTCAGTCCAAGTCCATAGCACACATTGATGTTTCAGCTGTATAATGTTACTTGTCTAAACTTATCTGAACAGCTGCCTCTCAGTACTCTGAGAGATGACAGGACATGGGCTTACCTTAGGATGCCTGACCCCAGCTGTCTTCCTCACACACCCTCTTGGAGGTTCTCACTTTCACTCCAGTACACTTCAGCTGCCCATAAAACAGCTGCTGAACTGCTAAAAGTCACAGCCTGGCACACTACTGAAAAAAAAACCCAGAGCAGGTTCTGGCGTGACTAAATAGGCTACAGAGAATTTATTGCTGCTTTAGGAAATAATGAGCTATTTTTGCAACTGGTGTAAGAACCACCATAAGGCTGCTAGGATTGCCAGCTCCATCTGCCCTGGTTAAAGTTTTGCTTGCTAGGAAAACATAACACTGAACCAATACTCCTGTCAAAAACTACTAGCAAGCATAAAAAGCTGCTGCCATTTACTTTCTATACTTCTAGTTGACAAAACACTCTTGAAAAAAGTGCAAATGCTCCCCTACAACAAAGCATTGCCAGGTAAAGCTAAAAATTTGTCATATTATACTGGACACCCTAACAGACATATTACACAACCCAAAAATCCTCCACTACTCTGGAAAAAGAGTAAGACTTCAAAGCTGTCATCTCTCATTCTGTGACAAAAACTCAGGACAAAAGTTAAGTTCATAAGAGCAGAATTTACCTTTCAGTCAGTCGCTTCTTCACAATTTCCAAGTTCATGGGTGGTAGAGAAACAGAGGGATCAAACTTTGGTTTAGCTGGTTGAGATTTATGCAGGGAAGCATCACCGTAAGTTTCCTACAAGAATTTTAAGTGTTAATTTTTAATACACCAGTTACACAAGTTTTCCTTCTCCAGCTCTACAGATCAAGAAGATAGATCATTTGAATCCACAAGGCATATGATATAAAGATACATATTTCAATCATGAAATTAAGTACAGAAAGTGTTGCACAGAAAAGTACAACACAAAAGCAAAGAAAACTGAAAATATAAAAACCTGCCTATATATGTTGTATAACAATATACAGTACATACACATATAAACAGCACAAGCTAACTCATAACTTAGGGTACACTTAAGTTGCTGTCTTGATCTGAAATTAATAAACTTTCAATAATCCATAATGCTTCTATACAGACAGCTGAGACTTCACTCGTATCAAGATTATAAATATAAAATGTAGAAAAACTACAGCCAAGTAGTGATCCAATCTGATTTTACTCTTATCTTGCTTTTTAAAAACTATTTGGATATATTTATGATACATTATTTGCCATCTATTAGTCAATTAATATTCTGTTTTCTCATAGTAAACTTTTGATTTCCACACCCTAATATGAATGCTACTTTCTGACAAAGCCAGGGGCCAGAAAACAGATTTTTGACTCTGACAGCTCTGCTTAACTGTAACTAAAAAAGGACTCCACTGAATTTTAGCTTGTAAATGAAAAGACATTTTGCATTCTTAAACAGTAGAAGTTTGTATATTAAAATCTAGCCAAAACACAATCAGTTAAAGCAATCAAGTCCATGACTAACAAGGTCTACTACTAAAAACTGTTGCAGTTTCCTGAACAGTAGAGATTAACAGTTTTCGAGAAACAAGTAGGACCTAAGAACACAAATTACACTGGATTTGAAATTCAGCAGCAGAAAAATGTAACTTTCTCCCAGTGCTCTAACTACTCCCATTTTAAGAGGCAAAAATTTCTACAATTTTCTACTCTGACATAAATGGTTATTCATATTTTCATAGTCTGATCCAGAGTTGGTGATTCAAGACAGAAACAAAACTTCCAGCTCAGCAGAAGATACATGGTTTATTTTTGCCAAATATTTGCCAGAAAAAAAAAAGACAATTTAGCTGAACTGTGAAAAGAGCTCTCAGACTGTTACCCAACAGATATTTAGCATAACAAAAGAATAATTTTTGCTTTGCGACTTTTTCAACGTTTGTATTATTTGCATACTCTTGCTTTCAAGATCCTTTGCAGGGCAGCAAAAAAACCCCACTTTAGGGTTCAGAATTTTGTTCTCTGCTTTTCAGTCTGCCACCACATATGGATACCTGCCTTTGAGGTAGACAACAATACCCTGTGGTTCTGAACTGCTAGACAGATAGTACAGATTTTCATTATCATCTTTGCATATTTTTAATCATCTTTTCACTGAAATAATCAGTGTATAACTTCCCAAAAACCTCTCTAATGAGAGGGCAGGAAGGAGATATGACAGCACTCCAGAAACTCTCTTGCCTATGAGCAAAAAGCAACTTCCAAGTGGTTAGGAAAGAATGTATCACCTGAGAGAGTTTAACGGCTTTCTTTATTTGCTGTTCTTCCCACTTAATTTGTGCTTCATCTTCACTAGATTCATCACTCACAGACACTGGAAGATAAAACAATCATAACTAGACTCAGTAACATCCTTTATTTTTTCCTCCCATGTTCTCCCTCTAAACCAAGAATGGTTCTCCCAACCATTACTTGGAAGTGATAAATACAAAACACAGCAGATGAAAAACCCACAGATGAAGGACTTCCAAACTGAAAGGCAAGGAAGGCTTGGAAACAGCTAGTGGGATTTGTAGAATTCACACCAACATTAATTTCCCCAACATGCTGTTTCTCAGACAACTACTACTGCAGTACAAGGAGCACAAACACCTCATTTTTATGTCTCAAAGCTCAGCTGTGTGTAATACTGTAACACATGTATTATAAGCACAGAGTATGTGACTGACATTAAACTCAGCAAACCCCTGAGTGTTCAAAAAATGTACACTCTACTATAGATACAAATATATCTCATTATCATTAATGAGAACTGCAGAATAAGCTCACAGTTATGCATTCCTTAAATTCCTTATTAAAATAAACCAGTGCTTCATAAACAGAACTATAAGCGGCTATAAGAAAATAAAAGCAATAGAAAAGACAGATATGCTTTGCATGCAATAGGTTTGTTTACTTCTGAAAGGCGGGGTTGGGGTTTGGGGTTTTTTTTGCCTTTTTCAGGTAGAGTCATCACGTCAGTGCGGGTAGAGCACTTGGAAGACTGGATCAGAGGCAGGAGGCAGGACTTAGAGCAACTTTATTCACATTAAATGTGCCTCCTACAAAGTAAGTTTTTTTCAGTCACCAAGGCCAAAAAGAATTTTTTTCATGTTTCTCAAAGTATCCTGCACCACGACATCAGTGAGACCTAAACCAGATTAACGTCCCAACCTCAAGTACCAGCTGTACAGTCTTTTGCCAAATCCCTGAGGAGCAAAGCCTTGCACTGCACTCACTCTTTACCGGACAGTCCCACATTCTTCCAGACATCAGTGTAACAAAGCCACAACCACTGGGAGAAAGAGCACAAACTCACCCATGTGTTCAGCCATTCTCTGCCTCAGAGTTCTCAGTTTGGGAACAAAATTGAGATTCTTCATATCAGACTCATCTTCACTCTCCAAGTCACTGCTTTCTCTTCTCTGAGAGCCCTGATGACTTTTTGAAACATCCAGAGGAAGATAATCAGCCTGTGTCCTGGCTAAGTGACGTTTCCTCCGAGCAGCCTCAATATGAGCTGCACTGGGGATATGACCTGCATTGAAGAGAAAGAAAATCTAAGCAAAAGACTAAAAGCAACACACCGTATCGCTTCTGATGTCACCTAACATCAATAATCACCACAGTTCAGGACCACTGTACAATTCTGAATATAGGACACAAGCTATTTTTCTATTAAGCTTGCTATGTTGAATAAAAGGAGATGGAAAAGCATCCTTAATATTGGCTCTCAGTCCAAAAACAAAGCTCAGACTTTTTTCTTTTAAATAAATTGCTGTGTGCCTGTCTTGTCTTTTCATCTCCCCAAAAGATGAGGATTACTAAACTTAGTGAGTTTACAAAGGAATCCAATGTTTACCAATCAACACAAATGAGGTTATATTTTAATTTCATGAAGGAAATTGTGCATTGTTAAACGGTAATTTTTTTTTGCTGCCTTTCTTCTGAAACCAATGGTCATAATTTCTGATCCATTTCCAAAATTAACACAGAAATACAACAAACATCCGCAACAAAAATATTGGGAAACTGACACTATTCTTTCAGAAGGGTAGCCCTGCTACTGCACAAACAGGATGCCTACACCTCACATGATTTAAACTGAGTGGGATTCACCTCACCTGTCTTAAACAAATGTGAAACAAAACAATGTTGTAAAATAACTTCCTTTAAAAAAGACATACACTCCAGGAAACTAACCTGGTGATAAATCCTTCCCCCTCTGTAGAGACCTGGATTCATTTTCAGACTCTGAGCTGCTGGAGTCCTCACTTAGTGAAGAGTAACTTCCATCCCCCTTCTCCTCTTCGCCTTCACGAGCACCTTTGCTGTTGCCAGTTCTAGGCTCCAACTGACTGATATCTGGTTTAGGGGAAAAAGTAGTAAGATTTGTGATTTCAGTTTCAGTTGCTGGAAGCTGATGTGCCATAACTGGTTACCAGTAACTATTTGCACCTTGCTGCAGCAAAGACTGGTTGCTTATCTATCTCCACTTATCATCAAAACATGTCAAGTTTTCCAACACTCCAAGACAGTAATTTACAAGCCAGTTCTTGTCTTGAATCAAAGCATCTGTGACAGCCCTAAACTACTATGTCCTTCTGAGACAGAGCACATTTACATGCACAAAAGCAATGATACAAGCTCCCAGATGACAACCGATTAATATCCTGACAGTTCACAGCATGTTTGGATTCATCAACCTTAACTTTATAATCTATTTAGGAAGAGGGTTTTTTTTTTTTTAATCATTAGCAATGAGGGAGTTCTTATTTAAACTATAAAGGTTTAGTTAAGTCTGTCTGGTCTCCAATTACCTTCTAATTCTTTACAAACATTGATTTATCTTCATCTGCCACTACATCTTCAGTAAATCATCAGATTACTGAATACGGCACTTTTTATATAAGTATGAGGTATACGTTTGTAAGAAGTCACTAAGAAAATTTACCATCTCATCTGAACCACAAAGGTAATTATTTCTCAAACTAAATTACTTTTATCTAACAGTAGCAATTAGGGTATTATCTGTGAATTGACAGAGGTGTCAAAAGAGGAATAGAAGGAAAGAGAACTTTTAGACAAAGTTGTTTGTAAAACACACAAACCCCAGATATCTCAATAGGAAGATTACTATAGTTGAATGAGACTAGGAATACCACCAGACCAATCAAGGCTATTGACTGTATTAAAGTAAAATATTCAAATATTGTAATAGCACAGTTTAACAACACAAAGTTAATATAAAGTTTTATCCGAAAAAAATCCTACTAATCTCACGTTTGCTCTCAATGCAAGTACTCAGGATCAAACTACATCCTGACAGCACGTCGTGATTTAAACCCAGCCGGCAGCCAAACACCACGCAGCCACCTACTCACCTTCCCACACACCCAGGGAATGGGGGACAGTCAGAGATTTAAGGGTAAGGAGACACGTAGGTTGAGATAAAAGCAATTTAAGAATCAAAATAAAATAGAATTAAAATAATAATGATAATAGTAATAACAGAAAATACAAACAGGTAATGCACAATGTGATTGCTCACCACACACTGACTGGTGCCCAGCCTGCTCCTTGCTAGTAATCCCTGAGAAGAGAGAATCCTGAAACCACCAGCCCAAAAACCCAAGTGGAGCTTCCCGATCAACCTTTATCTACATACTGCGCATGAAATTAGGTGATACAGAATATCCCATTGACCAGTTTGGGTCCGTTGTTTCGGCTATGTTCCCCCCACCAGCTTCCTGCATACCTGCTCCCAGGCAGGACATGAGAAGTTTGGAAATCCCTGATTTCTTAGCAACAACTGAAAACATGAATGTTACCAACTTTCTTCTCATATCAAATCCCATACTGAATCCAAAACACAGCATTATTCTAGCTAATAAGAATGAAGAAAAAAAAACAAAACAATTGGTTCTATCCTAGCCAAAATCAGGACACAGCAATAAGCAGTGGATATTTGCCCCACCGTTCAAAAGATATGATGCTGAGGTATAAATTTATCAGAAGTTTGTTAACTCTGATTCACTACAGGGGTTCTGCACACCCAAGTCTTCTCAAGAACAGCCTCCAAGTTCTGATACTGTTTTACCAAGGTCATATGGAAAATAATTTGAGCACAAATAGTTTTTAACTATAAACCTGTAAAGTAACATTATAAGGATAATCCCAAATTCAATTAACAAGTAAAAAGCATCAAATAGCAGCTTTTGTACATCACTCTTCACTTACTAATTTCATAATATATTCATATAAGTATTCCATAAATATTTCACTGAAAAATGTTCTTACTTTTGCTGTCTTCAATTTCTGTCTGCGCAGGCCGTAGGCTTTCCTTCTTTTGAATTCTAAAGGTCACTTCATTGAAGGATGGTTTTTTAACTTTGAAAAATTCTTCATCACCTATCCAGACAAAACAAAATTATTCTGAATAACGTTAACAGAGAGCAGCATATGTGAATATGTCTTATATAAAAAGCACATGTAATCTGTAATGTGTGCACAGCATAGGGTTTTTTAAGTTCTGGCTGCATTAAGTCTAACTAGTTCTACAGCTTTAACACTCAAGATCCACCACCTCTCAATTTAAAATTGGGCAGCTCAGCCTCCTCAACACAGCAAGGCTGTGCTGTTGAACTGCAGTTCCTCAGCAGTCTGTGTCCATCACAAAGCGACTGTGTGAGCTGCCCTGGCCTGTCTTGTGTCATCGGCCACAAAAGTAACAGCCCAGAAGAGTTAATTCAACGTTTAAGTTCCAGTTATTTAAGCTTGTTCATCGTTAACTAGTTTAGGCATGGAATCACATACTATCTACCTGTTTTCTCTGCTCTAAGCTTTCAAAAGCTCCCCAACCAAAAGCACACAGACACGTGTCACCTTCAACGTGTTTTTGTATGCAGTTCAGTTATAAACCCTCACAACAGCCCCATCCATAATCGAGTTCTCCTATTCTAGGTCACAAAGAGGCATCAAGGCTCCCCGGGTCACCAGCACGGGGCTCAGGCAGGCAGGAACTGTACGCGGGTGCGGAGGAGCGGCCCGTTCACTCAAGCTCCCGGGCCGGTTGCTCCTCCCGAGCC